CCCCCCCCCCCCCGTAAATAACCCATAGACCGACAGCACCTGTGTAAATCAACGTCTGGATACCGTAATGAAGACGGCACCCGACTTAACAATGAAACCATGGGCGGAAGCAGTTCAGCAGTGTGCATACGTCTAACCTCGGGATGAGTGATACAAATCGGAAATTTCGGGATGGTAATGCCCTGACGGCGACTGAAAACCCTGTCCAGAATTCACTATGAGCTCCACTGCGGCTGCGTACTTGTTTCATTTTGTTACAGAAATAATTCGGTCTTTGCACAATGAATGATTCAATTTGCAGCAACGTGCATGACGTGCAGACCTGTCGCCACGGTCGCGCACGTCCGCTTGTTTATGTATATGTAATCGTAACAAGACGGGGACGGAATTCCATATACGAACAACACAAGTTTTCCCTTAATAACAGCCGTCAGAAAATGATAACTTGCCACAAAAAGTGAAACTTAGCACGGAAAACTCAGAAGCAATTACGTGTACAGTGTTTTTATGTACACAAAGGGTTGTGCACAGGGGCATCAAGCCCGACGTTAAAACTCGATCTTTCCCTCTAATAGCAAGTACATGTGCTACATGCATGTACATGGCATGTAGGCCTCCGTTTGGCAAGTATTCGTCTTTTGATCGGGGCAAAATAGTATCTCAGTTCCCAGGTGACTTAGGCTACTCTGAAATTCTGTACCACTAGGCCTACCATAAAAATAATGGCCTACTACAAGTGGTCGTAGTAGGCAACTGTAATAGCATTTGTATTGTGGACTATGAACTGCAGCTTTTCTTAAACTCAAAATGGTACTCTTGCACTTCTTTAATATTTTGGACGAATTGAAAGAATTCCATATACAGACACCCTTTAACACTCTGTGTGCAGACCCTATAAAATTCCAAGAGTTTTCGAAGTGAATACTCCAATATTTTCCCGCTAAATGTGACTTTTGGGACATGTTAGGCCTATTGCATTATGTAGTCACTCTAGGGAAAAAGTGGCGGAGCCCGTAGTAGAATTTGCTATAGAATTTTTTCCTGGACGAAATTGACATGTAGGGCTACATTAGCTCTACCGAGTGGAGCATTAGTAGTCAAAAAAAGGAATATTAATGCTCCACTCAATAGAGCGACATGTAGGCCTACATGCACATTAATGATGCAAGAATGTGACTGCGAGTCTCGAGCTGGACCAATTAAGAGAGGAAACAATTTTCCGAGCAGTGGAGGCTCCTTTGGTCCAAACTGCACTTCGCTGGTTTACGAACAACAAATGAACTTTTCTGACAAACTTCTTTTTCAACTGAAGAGGGGATGCTTCTGCCCAAAGTGGATTCGGATGGTCTGGACCATGTATTTTTGTGATAGTCCTTCAGCAGTGGTGCTGGCCATGCTTCAGGAAGTCAAATAAAGTTGTATAACTAAATGGAAAACAAAAACAATCCATAGACATTAATTCAAGAAAACCTCAGTACATTGCACTCAGATGTCGTTTCCCTTTATTGAAGTCTCGACAACCTGTCATTAACAAATCTTTAAAAAATGTATTAGCATCCTTCACAATGTTTAACGGCAAGCTGTTTTAAATGTGCTTCAATAAATACTAAAAAGTACCAGAAGTTTATGGGTTGTAGGTTTTCTTCCAAAATCAAATGCTCTGGCATAGTTTTCTTGCTTTCAGAAGCAATTTTGACTTCCAGTTTGGATGTTGTGTATTTAGTTCAGCTTACTGGTAGAAACCTATATGCTTTTTCCTTCACATATGTGGGAGATTTCAAAACTGTTAATATCAAATACAGAACTTGGTAAAACTTAAGTGAATTTCTAACATATATTACAGGTTTTATCAGACAAAATTTTGGGGAAATACAATAGCAGCTAATGCCAAACTTTTCCAGCTTTCTCAAAAACACTGTATTGTGTTCTTTTCCAGAACAGAATTGCCTCTTGAAAAACTCTGCCAAATATGATTCATGTCTTTCTTTCAGATTTTTGCATCATCTTTCGGAAAAATAACACATCTTCAACATTCCAGAGTTTTTTTTACTAATGATCAACTTCAATGAAACTTTTTTTCAACATGTTGCTGCTCTAGTAATAGACAGCATGCAGCTAAGAGCTTAGAGCTCTGCAAAGTCTGCAGTATTTAAAATAATTATGTTTTGCCACAGAGAAGGGAAACACCCTAAATTTCTTCACTTGTACATTTACAGTATGAATGTTTGAGACAACATAAGTCATGTTACACGCATTATAACTGTGCACATGGCCACAAAGCCAGGGAGATTATTCCTAATTTACATACAATTTTGTACAGCATGTCCTCCAATATGCAACCAAAAGATATAGCATTCATCTTCTCCCAAAGTATTAATCAGAATGGTGTCAAATTAAAACTGACAGTGTTTTCTATTTATACCAACATATAAATTCCCACAGACACCAGTTAGAAAATCCCCATACTTCAGAATTATTTTAAAAATACTCGCAACTTTCGCAGGTGTTCAGGCTGCACAGAAAAAAGATGTTCCACATACCCTCTTTCATTTTGCTTTCAATTTTTAATGGGTTGACCAATAAATTTTTGAGAAGTTCTCACCCAAAGCAAACCACCCCTAAAATGAAGGGAATTTCCTTGCCCGGAAAAGAAACCATTTTGATAATGCATCCTGTGTAAAACAGCTAAATAGTGCCTCTTCAGACCCAATTGCATCCAATTTGCTCAGAATTGAAATTGAAAGACCAAAGTCCGGGCTAGAATTTCAGTGCCATATTGCTTTATTTCCCAATTCGCTGACTCTCAGGACTCTCTAATATAGACGTTTTATATTTCGTTTTTTATATTTTACGTTTTCGTTCTATGTATTTTACATTTTGCTCCTCTATTGTGCTACTTTATTCGGTCTATATCACAACTGGTCTGGCGTCAAGGTGGCGCCGTTTCGTCCTTTCTTTGGTTATTATATTCTTGAGTTTCGTTCTTTATTACTTTCGTCCTATATTTATTACTTTTGTCTTATATATGTATATTATTTTCGTTCTATATTTATTAGATTCGTCATTTATATATGATTTTTGTCGTATATTTATAAGTTTTCGTCCTACGTAAATTACCTTTGTCCTTTAAAGGTACTTTTATCCAATGTATAGATTAGTTTCTCACTTATGTATTTGATCCTATGTATATTTCACATTCGTTCTATTAAATATTAGTTTCGTCCTATGTAATCTCGTTTGATATTTTGTGTACTAATGAAGTCACAAAGGGTGCCCCATACTGCATGCTCATTTGCTGGCGTATCCTAAGGGTGTCAAAAGATGTGTTGGGCCGGAACGTTACCGACGTTGTATGACTGACGACACATTCTGTCACTCAGTAACACTAACAGCAAATATGGTCTCTTGAAAATAAAAATTCTTAAGGCTTTTACTGCTTGCAAGGTATGGATTACCGTTTGGGAGTCAATTTTCGATTGAATTTCGATTGTTAATATTTTAAGTATTGTTAATGGTTTAATTAGACATAATAGAGTTGACAGACATTATATCCCCAAAGTGCCGGATCTTTGGCAACAAACTCTCTGTCACAAGACGAGTGATTTATAAATCATGTTTATGGGTTTCTAATGTACAAATTATTGAGGTAAAAAGAACTGTCATTAGAGATTTAGGTTCTTCCTTTTCTGTCAAACCCCACTGTTGCATGTAGTGGACTATTTAAAACCAAATCTTTGTGGAGAATGGTACAATACAATGTTATGTAACCTAATAATTATGCTTCAGTGATTTTGGTTCATGTATGTGTGCTGATAGGCACTATCATTGCAGCCTGGTTGGTGTAAAGATGGGTAGTCCACCTGTGTGGTGAGGTACAAAATACTGAGTGTATTGTACCTAGGGCATGGCCCTAAAGGAAAGCCAGTTTGGAAACCCGTAAGTTAATTTCACTTATGATATTAAATTAGTTTATTTGTATAAGACAACTATGGAAAAGCTCAATATTGAGATATATTTCAAAAAGAAAAGTTGCATTTGGGCAAGAATTTAATCATAAACGTAAATTAACCCTGGGATAAATGAAACTCAGTGTTGGCAACAGCCAAGTTAGGTTACTGTTATCACAGAAGGGGTTACATTATGAATTAGTTGGATTTTTCTTAAAAGGGCTTTTTCCCTGAGGGGAATTTAAATTCTTGTCGGTTCTGAGTGAACCATTTGGTTCTGCGTGAACAAGTCACAACTACAGGAAGGTTCTAGGTGAACCAGCCACTCCATCAGATTGAGGTTACACAGGCCTTTCAAGAGGGTTCTAACGCCTGTCCTAGAATTTGTGGGAACGTATGCCCTTCCAACAGCCAAGAGATTGACCCCTACTTCGGGATGATTCTTCAGCTCCTAAGTAAGAGATTTCATCGACCCAGGGAACTGGCAGTGCCATCACAGTCACCATTGGACTCATGGAAATGTGGTTCCTCAAGGGGCCTGAATAATTGATCGTTTGGATTGTAAATATATATATTTTTATTTTTTGTTAATTATAATTGTTTTCTTTTATGCACTGGTGACGCCGTCGGAGTAAGACGTACGCTCACGGAGCTCGTGTATATTCAGGCCCACTCGACCGAGAACAGCCTGCAATGCCGCCTAAACAACGTGGTGGAAAAAGGACCGGCGCAAGTGATACACCTGCCGGACAAACGCCCATGGCCTCCAGAGGAGATGATTCTGGCGACTCCAGTGAAAAAGATGGTGGCACTAGCTCCCAGGAGTTCGAGGTGTTCGTCAGGTCTATGCTGGCAAAACTCGTGAAAGGCCAGAAACAGCTAGAGGCCAGGCCAGCAGCATTTATTGAGTTCAACTGTGAACGTATCTCAGACCTCGAGAAAGCAAAAACGGTGTTGGAGAAAGAAGTCAGCGGCCTGAAAGAAGAGCTCTCATCGGCGAAGATCATGCTAGAAAAACGGTCCATAGAAATAAATAAACAAGAGAGGTTTTCCCAGCGGAACAACTTCAGAGTGGTGGCAGAACCTTGAACCCAGGAAGAAAACTGCATGCAGAAAATCGCGGACATTCTCGGTACAACCTTGGGGCGATACTCCAAAGATTGAACGTGCCCACCGTGACAGTCCCGACAAGCAGGGGAGGCCAGCTCACATCCTGGTGAAAATGTTGAGCTATCAGGACAAGCTGAAGGTGATGAAAGAACATCATAAAGCTCTGGAGAGAACGTCTATGTTCATCCTAGACGACCTGGCGGCAGGTGAGGGAAAAACTACGCTGGAAGACGGAGGTAAAGGCCTTGTATGAAAAGGACATAAAATTGAGATTTTCTGCGGGTCGTTGGAGGAGCAACAACAGTGTCCCTTTGATTTTAATCGGACAATTTAGGTTTCAGTAACCATGATTTTGGGTACCTTTACATTCCCGTGTAAGTGGTATAATTACCAACATTTTTTCCATAATTTGTACGCTGTGGGGTTGTTCTTTTTTCGGCCATAACTTGAAGGTATTCCTGACCAAAGTGTTTTACTTTTTGTTGGCTTGCAGATTAGTCGGTTAGTTTATTAATGTGTTAGTTACGTGAGCCCCGATGGGAACATTTGCCCGCCACTCGCTATCAGGGGTAAAACGTTCTGTGTCATAGGTTGCTGCATCTAGGAGGGGTTTCCATTTTTTCTGACTCACTGTCTTTTTTTTTCATTTTTTCTTTGGTGTAGGTAAGGCCCTATGCTCTATGGGTCTGGGTTTTTTCCTGGGATGTGTTCTGGGGTAGTGGGGGGATTTTTTTTTTGTTGTTTCTGTTCGGGTTGGGTGTGGTATATGTAAAATTCCCGGTTTCTTACTTCGGTATTATTCAGATGAAGATATGCAGTTCGCTTTGTATGCAACATAGTTGCGTTCCCCAAACTATGTGTTCGCTTATAGGTGTTATGCAAATTAGGCCTACATTGCTGAAATGCTCTGCATTTGATATGCAAAGCGGCACATAATAATTTCTGTTTGGGGTATAATGCCTGGTTATAATAATTTGTCGATTGCCTCGATGAATTGTCGGGGCGTGGGGAACTTCGTTAAAAGAAGAGATGTTTTGCATTTTTAAGGCGTTTCAATTCCTGCCTTGGAGTGTCTGATATGGCATCAGCTTGGTTTTCTTCGTACTTGTCAGGTCGTTCGTACATATTTCGGTTAGTAATGTCACATCTGACACTCTTAAGTTCAAACGGGGTGTTCCTCAAGGATCATATCTTGGTCCTTAATTATTATGATCAGTATATTCCAGTGAGTTATTTCAGGTATAAATCAAACCAGTTTTGCTTGACGTACATAATGCTGATGACACTCAGCTATATATTTCTTTTGAACCCGATGAACTGACAAGATCAGGATAGTGCAATCAAGGCATTGCAAGACTGTATCAAAGCATTCTGCACAGTATACTCTTTGACAAGTTAATGATAACAAAATTGAATTCATGCTCATTGGCACTAAACTCAAATTGCTAATATTAGTATCAGTCATATAACTGTCGGTGACATTAACATTGAGCCGGTACAGAAAGCTAAAAATGCAATGCTTTTTTATCACGTACACAATATTCGTGCCGTAAGGAAACACCTAACTGTTGAAAGCACTCAAATTCTTCTCAATGCGTTTGTAACAAGTCGTCTTGACTACTGCAACAGTTAATTGTTTGGTATTCCAGAAGTGCCGCTGAATCAATTGTAACGTGTCTAGAAAAGTGCAGCCAGAGTAGTACTGACCAAGCCTAGACAGTGTCACATAACTCACTTATTGTATGATTTACATTGGTTGCCAGTCAAATATCGAATCAAATTTAAAATTCTTTGGCTGGTGTATAAATCATTAAATAAGTAATGTCCTACATATTTTTGCAATCTTTTCGAATTCCAGCAACCCGAAAATATTTATTAAGGTCAACAAATAAGTTGTACTTACAGGTTCCTACAATTACACCTCGTCAGAACAAGATTTGTGATAGGGCAGTCTCAGTTGTTGTTCCTACACTCTAGAAATCACTGCCACTTTAGGTCAAGTCACAACAAACTTTACAAGGTTTCAAAACAGACTTAAGACCTACCTATTTCACAAAGATTTTGGTCGTCTGTGATTTATCTCCCCGCTTTTAACCCATCTGTCACGTTCGGAGACGGACGGGTTCCTTTTATGGGTCCCTCTTTTTCTTCGACATATTTCTTTAATAGCTTTGGTGTTACATAGCTGATATTGATCCTGTATGAATATTTTTGGTGGATGTATTTTGTGTTAAATGAAATGATTTTGTGAATTTGTAATTTGTGACCTGGTTACACAAGCACTCATACATACATGCTCTATTTTAACATTTGTTTTCAATTGTTCTAGCTAATTATTTGTAATTTGATGTAATTGTATATTTAAGTTGATAGTTATGGTTTTTTTAAATTGATTTGAGTAATTTTATATGGTTTTACATGTCTGTAATTTTGATGTATATTCGAGAAGTATGCACAGAAGTTTTATTGTTTTCAGTTGTAAGGCGCATTTGATCATATATTTGTGGAAAATGCAGGGTATAAATGTTAATGTTAATGAAAACTGTGGACTCACTTGATTCGCGAATCGGATCGCTATATTCATGTAATTTTCTTCTTTTGGAACTAGGAAATGTCGAACCAGGACCAAGGTATGCGGTCGACGACGGTTTCTCTAAGATGTCGACGTCGCAGTTAGGAGCAGACAGAGATGACATAAAATTGAGGTTCCCTTGCATTTATTGTCAGCTGTTTGTTACTTTCATTGCGACGGTGAAGAGTGACGAGAGGATCTCGGTGAGTGTTTCTTACAGTTCAATAGGTTTGTAATTAATTAAGTATAGCAATGACCATATTCCTCCTTCCAGTGAGAATCAAGCTCTCTCGCTCTGAAAAGTTGATACTGTCTTTGCATTCACTACCGATTTCTGGAGATATTTTTGTCATAGTTAAATTCTTTTTCAGTTTTTTTGCGAGTGACCTCTTGTTCTGGCAGTGCTGTCCGTCAACTGGACAAACACTGTCTACCCTCGCTAAACCTTTCAGCATTTTGAAGGTTTCTGTCAAATCCTCTCTTTATCTTCTCTTATCTGATGAATACAGGTCTAGAGCTTGTTGCCGTTCTTCATATGACAACTTCCTCAAAGTCGTAGCCATGTTAGTGGCATACCTTTGCCCTTGCTCTCCTGACATTCCTCTTTTTCTCCCTTTGCGGGGCACCATGCTTCAATAGAGTATTCCAATGTGTTTGGATACAGTATTCCAGTGTGCTTGAATAGAGTATTCCAGTGTGCTTGAATAGAGTATTCCAGTGTGCTTGAATACAGTATTCCAGTGTGCTTGGATAG